CACCCCACCCCCGCCTCCGCCACGAGGGCGGCCGCGCCCTCCTCGGCGCTCCCGGATGTGTCGGCGGGGTCGCATCCATTGTGTCCAAAGGCTTATCGCCGCCACAGTCGAGTTCGGCTGGCCACGATCAAACTTGTTCCGTTTGTATATAGTAAAAGTCTCGCGTTGTTAAACCACACCAATCAGTCAGTATACCCCCCCCCCCTACCACACCAGTTTTACAAGTAGTACTAACGCTACATCCTTAGATGCATTATTTGTCTGTTTTGTGCAAAACGTTCGTGCTAAACTTAAACCTACACGTTGCGCTGTGCGCAAAATTGCACACGATTTGGTACAAATGAAACCAAACTGTTCAAATTAACGCAAAAATGTGTGCAAAAAATGCCACATTGCTTAAATTTGTACACCGGTAAAAGGATCACTCCAGTAGTCGGTGTGTATACCGCGCTGGGGCGGACTGTACTCCATTCATGACGCTCCGCTGACGCCACGCGCCCGGGCCGAGCGGACTATACCTCCACTCTGGTCATGGCCTACTTAGGGCCGGCGTGGCCTCAATGTTGGCTCGGCGGCGCGCGGCGCGGCGGGGCGGGGCGGGGCGCGGGGCGTACCGCGCAGTGGAGCGGGCGGGGCGGGAGGCGGGGCGGTGCGACGCGGAGGGACTCAGGCAGGCTGGGCGGGCGCACCGGGCAGCCGTCGAGGCAGGTCGGGGAAGGCAAGGCGGGGCGGAGCTCGTCTGGTCTGGTCTGGTCACTGTCGGCCGTGTGGGTAGGTAATGTACAACGTATAGGAGGCACGGCACTACAATTGCAATTATAACGAAGTTCAGAAAACCGGACTCGTTTCTTTTCCGCCAAGGACCCCGCGGGGGACAACCGGCGCGGCCGCCCCGCCCCGCCACCGTACCGGACCCACCAGCGTCCCCGATGTGGAGCGAAAGCATCAGCACGGCGAGAGGTACAGTGCGGCGAGTAGGGGTACAGTATAGGTACAGTATACACACGACGAGCCTTTTGAAACTCTGTCGCAAAATGAAAGAGAATAATTCCGTTCAGAAACCGGTTGTAATGATTGTGTCTATGGGGCCGCCTACTATACATACAGGGTGGTTCACATGCCCCTTCCTTTCTTCACGGACTCGCCGTTGCTTGGCTGTGTAACTGTATACGGCATGCAGCAGTGTGGGCGGGCTTGCCTACCGCCGCTCACCGTGGCCCCTTACGGCCCCGTGCGACTATGTAACCTCCTCCCCTACGCCTGCATGCGGTACAATAACTAAGCAAAAGAAAAGAATATGGGTCTTGTGGACCACATGCACTCAGGGTCAGCTTAGCTAGCTCAGCTAAAGTTTCATTTCGCCGGGTTTAAACATGTTTTTGTTAACGTTTAAAAAGGTAGCGGCGGACACGGTTTAACTTTTGAACGCGACACTGTCGCTGAACGCTCTTCAGCGCAGGCGCGGTATAAGGGGGGGGGGGCGATTCCCCCCC